TAGTGATGCTTCCTAAGGCCCACTTGACTTCTCAATCCAGGATGTCTGGCTCTAGGTGAGTGATCACACCATAGTGGTTATCTGGGTCATGAAGACCTTTTTTGTACAGTTCTTCTGTCTATTCTTGCCACCTGTTGTTAATCTCTTGCCTCTGTTTGGTTCTCACTATTTCTGTCCTTTATTGTGCCCATCCTTGCATGAAATGTTCCCTTGATATCTGTAATTTTCTTGAAGAGAAAAAAAATCAAGCAAAAAGATGAAAAGCAACTGGTGGAATTTGGGTCCCTAGAACCAACAGCAGCAACAGGATTTTTGTAGCTGCTGTGGTTGTTGTTCTGACTGAGTTAAAAGCCTGGCTGGCCCAGATCAGCATGCCAGTTAGCCTCTATCATCCATATACTAAAGACGACAGCCAGGGATTTTTTTTCACACATGTAACTTGGCCTACGGCTTTGGGGGGATTTGAACTCTTAATTAGCAGCTTCCTTTTGCCCAGAAATTAACGTGTGACTGAGTGATAAGAATGAATTCAGCCAAGACTGAGCTCAGATTCCCATAAACACAACAGATAAGCAGCCTGAACATGAAGCCTTGATAGCCGTGTCTGAGATGAGGCTCGCTCACCTGGACCCTGAGTCCCCAGGCCTCTCTCACTGCCAGACGCTATAAGGGAACCAGCTTCTGCCTCACTCCATCCTCCCACGCTGAGGCCCCTTGGCCCACACCTGCAGGAACAGTGCTGGTCTTAGGTGGGAAGCGCGGGGGGCAGGGTGGCTCACTCAGTATTCAGTAATGTGTAATGAGACATGCTTTGTGCCAGGCAGGTGCATTGCTGGCCACTAGGCGTATGACATGTTGGTAAATAAAACAGACATGGTCCCTCCTGTCATGGAGACTGCAGCTCAGTGGAGGAGACAGATGGTAAACACACAAAAACAATACAAACGCTGCATCTGTTCATGCTTCGGGGCCCTTTGCTTGATTCTGTCTTCTTGATGTTGCTCTTTATTCTAATATTTTTGTCATTCGGTGGAGCTTGAATATAAGCTCCTCACTCTCCTTGCTACAGGGTCACTCTAATACATTCCCCTGATTTTTTTTTTCCCTTTTCCATTATGGTTTATCACAGGATATTGAATATAGTTCCCTGTACTATACAGTAGGACTTGATCCAATTTTCTTATAGAGAACTTAAGAGAAGTTGTTTATCCATTCTCTATGTAATAGTTTTCATCTGCTAATCCCAAATTCCCAAATCATCCTTCCCCCACTACCCTTCCTTGGCAACCGCAAATCTATTCTCTATTTTTATGTTTCATAAACAAGCTCATTTGTTTCATATTTTAAATTTCACATATAAGTGACCTCATATGATGTGTGTCTTTGGCTGGCTTACCTCAGTTAGTGTGATCATCCCGAGGTCCATCCATATTGCTGCAAGTGACATTATTTTGTTCTTTTTTATGGCTGATTAATGTTCCATTGTATAGATATACCACATCTTCTTTATCCATTCAGCTGCCGATGGACACTGAGGTTGCTTCTGTATCTTGGCTATTGTGGATAGTGTTGCTATGACCATAGAGCTGCATGCATCTTTTCATATTAGGATTCTGTCCAGTACAGCCCTTTGATTTTGTTCTCTGAGTAGCACTCACCATTACCGGATATTTTCTTGTGCGTTTTTTGATTATTATTATCTATCTCTCACCCACAGGAGGTCAACTTCAAAAGGACGGTCTTGTGTCTCTCATTCACTGCTACATCTGGGCCCTGAAACACTGCCCTTTGTCTAACAGAGGCTGAGGAAGCCTGAACAACTACATGAAGAAGCAATGACAGAAAATTGGCACCTCACCTTTCTATCACACAAAAAGAGATTCTATTTTTATCATGTGCAAATTAGCTGGTGATTTTACTTACTCCTCCTCACTCAAAAAACTGCACTGATGTGATAAAAGGACAATTACATCTTCTGTTCCTCATGAAAAAACTAAGGACATCAGAGGACTGACAGAACTCCAGCTGGATACAATGCAAGTAAACCTTTAGTCAGGGGGTGTTTCTTAACCTGGTTACTGTATGATGTCGTCCAATTGGCATTTGGAAATGTTAAAATTAGTGCACAGACCCATATTACAATTGTCACAATTCCGGGTGGGCATGATTGACTTGAGGAGCTCCATCTGACACCCTAGAACTCATTGTCAAGCATTTCAGAGTCTGTTCATCCAGCCGTCCTGGTATGGAACGGGCACTGTGCTGAACACGGTTGTCCAAAGACAAACGAGACAGTCTGGCTCACGGTGGCACCATAGGGGAGACCAAGATGAAAATCAGCAAATATTATACGTTGTGATTCATGCAGTGATAAAGCAGGCAGAGAAACATGCTGGAAGGAAACATAACAGAACCTGAGATAGTCAGGGTGGGGAGCTGCCTGGAGGAGGCATTTTCCATATTGAATGTTAAAGGATGGAGGAATGGAATGGAGGCCGCTGGGAGGAGAAGACAGCAAGTAAACAGGCGCAGGGGGAGAAGCGTCCTGAGTATTCAGAAAATGAGACGCTGCTGTGGGAGCAGGAAAGAGTGGGAAGGAGGGGGGTCAGCCAGGCAGGAGGACCCATCTGATACGATACTGGACCCCACTTCTGAGGACCAGATCCCATCTTGTTCCTTCTGTCCTCCTGTCTCTGAATCCTACCCAGGACCTAGGAGGCTGCCGTGTGAGAGCCAGGATCCAGATTCATGAAGATCACGGGAGCAGTTTTATAACTGTTGTTCATTTCTTTGGGAAGAATTTTTTGCCTACCTTGGAGAATCTGGAGGTAAGCATTTTTCTCTTGTGCTTCTTTTTGTTCCTGGTAACAGCAAGCTTTTAAAAAGTCAGCAAATGTCCATTAACTTTGAAGACTGCAGCAAGGAATCCAGGAAATTTCCAGTGTTTGGACAACAGGCAATGAAGAGTAGCTTCCCCCCAGCAGTGTGCAATACTGGTACCTGCCCTCCAGTTAGACATCAGGACGGACAGACAGACAATTAGAAGAGGAGATTAGCATTTGACACAACTGGGTTCTTTTCTGGTTTATTAGAAACCTCAGAGATCCCAATTTTGCTTTCCTCTTCCATGACGAAAACGTAAGTACCTCTTGTGGTTTTACTGCTTTGTTCATCAAAAAACTTGGCCACCAGAATAGCATCCGTGTTCTGTAAAACCTGAAAGAGCAATTTTGGGAGAAGCACTGCAGTCGTAGATCTCCAGCTACCCTCCCAGGCTACTCACCAAGGGGCACGCTAAATTCCTTTAAGCGTGAACTGCTCAGCAAGAAATACTTTACCCACATTTAAACCCACACCCAGAGTGCCCCTGGAGTCTTCACATCTGTGGGTCATGCTGTACACATGCTCATATCGTGGCAGCTGACTTTGAGGCCCAGCCTCCAGATGGAAATTGGGGCAAGTGCTACTGAGTCAGCGGGGTGAGAGGGGCAGAGGGACCTCACATGAGGGCGCTGTGTGTCTCTCCGCTGCCCCTGCAGCTTCCTGGAGCTGGGAGTCTGTGGGCAGGTCTGAGAGCAGCCAGAGAGGGAAGGATTAATGCCAGGATAGTAGCCATCACAAAGGGCAAGAACCAACTCTGCTAGATTTAGCAAATTAAAGTACAGAATTCTCAGTTGAACTTAAATTTCAGAAAAATAATTTTTAGCATAAGTATATCCCAAGTGTTGCATTGGATATACTTATGCTATTTTTTTTTTCCCCACTGAAATTCTAATGTAACTGGATGTCCTGCATTTAATCTGGCAACACTTCCTGGTAGGTCTGCAACTCACCAGTCCCTCCACCTAGTGTCCCAGCCCACCTCTACCCCTGCTGTTTTCTTCCTTCTTTCCTGCTCTTCTGGCCTATCCTCCTCCTGTCATTCTTCCCCAGCAATACAAGAGAGGATCTGACGATAGGTCTCAAATCACGGAAGCTCATTCAATACTTATATGTTCTTTTCCCCTGTGTGCATGTTTACTTCTTTGTGGCTGTCCACAGCTTAAAGACTTTATTCCCTGTTTAAATCACCCCAAGCAACATACAAGTGAAGAGGGGAAATAGAGGGATAACTGCTCTAACAATTCTAACCTGAAAGAGCAATTTTGGGAGAAGCACTGCAGTCGTAGATCTCCAGCTACCCTCCCAGGCTACTCACCAAGGGGCACGCTAAATTCCTTTAAGCGTGAACTGCTCAGCAAGAAATACTTTACCCACATTTAAACCCACACCCAGAGTGCCCCTGGAGTCTTCACATCTGTGGGTCATGCTGTACACATGCTCATATCGTGGCAGCTGACTTTGAGGCCCAGCCTCCAGATGGAAATTGGGGCAAGTGCTACTGAGTCAGCGGGGTGAGAGGGGCAGAGGGACCTCACATGAGGGCGCTGTGTGTCTCTCCGCTGCCCCTGCAGCTTCCTGGAGCTGGGAGTCTGTGGGCAGGTCTGAGAGCAGCCAGAGAGGGAAGGATTAATGCCAGGATAGTAGCCATCACAAAGGGCAAGAACCAACTCTGCTAGATTTAGCAAATTAAAGTACAGAATTCTCAGTTGAACTTAAATTTCAGAAAAATAATTTTTAGCATAAGTATATCCCAAGTGTTGCATTGGATATACTTATGCTATTTTTTTTTTCCCCACTGAAATTCTAATGTAACTGGATGTCCTGCATTTAATCTGGCAACACTTCCTGGTAGGTCTGCAACTCACCAGTCCCTCCACCTAGTGTCCCAGCCCACCTCTACCCCTGCTGTTTTCTTCCTTCTTTCCTGCTCTTCTGGCCTATCCTCCTCCTGTCATTCTTCCCCAGCAATACAAGAGAGGATCTGACGATAGGTCTCAAATCACGGAAGCTCATTCAATACTTATATGTTCTTTTCCCCTGTGTGCATGTTTACTTCTTTGTGGCTGTCCACAGCTTAAAGACTTTATTCCCTGTTTAAATCACCCCAAGCAACATACAAGTGAAGAGGGGAAATAGAGGGATAACTGCTTTAACAATTCAAGCAGCCCCTTCTGAAGCGCTGGAGAGCATAAGCTGTCAGCACCAGGCCCCCTACTTTGCCGGCACCTCCCTGGAGAAATCCAGTTCATAGCCTCCACATCCAGTTTTTGCCACCCAAGCCCGAGGCCACTCAGCAGCTTTCATCTGGGGAACAGAGAGAAGACACTGGGAAGAGGAGGCCGAGACAAAGCATCCAGCTATCGCAGAGTGAGATCCGGGATCACTGTAACTGCATTTATGTGAGTGTCAGAGTTCACATGTGGGGCGACAATTAAGTGGTAGGTGGTATTAGGGAAAACTTATGAACATGGAGGCTGATGATAGATACTGGCAACCTAAGCTAACAAGAAAAGTTAAATGGGTTTGGCTGTGTTGAAATACCACAAATTACACTAGCTGCCTTCTACCTTGGATGCCTAATTACCATATGGTGCCATGATACTTATGTATATCATTTTATATGCCTTAAATTAATTTTGTTAAATTAACTTTGTTATTAACTTTGTAATTTGATTAGAACAGGAGACCCAGCCTGTGTTGACCTGTAGGATGGATATCTGCTGCTCTGAGAAATTCAGGGCAGCTACGGGCTGAGTCATGGTGAGAAGGCCTCCGTGCATGGCTCCCAGTAACTCTCCACTTTCTGGGTTCATGCGTACCATGGGTCTCCTGACTCGCTTCTGACAGAAGGGATGGGGTGTCACTTCTGAGACTGGGTGGAATATGCCTGTGCCTTCTGCCCTTCTAGCCATCTCTCTCCCTCTCTTGTCCTGGAAAATCCAGTTGCCACATCATGAGATGCCCTGCGGAGAGGCCCACACAGCAGGGACCTTGTGGAGGCCTCTGGCCAACAGCCACTGGGACCCTGAGACTTGGCAACAGCGGGGGAGTGAACTTGGGAAAGTATCCGCCCCCAGGTGAGCCTTGAGATGCAGACAGACGGTGGAAATTTCATACAGTCTTGTGAAAAGCTCCAAGCCAAAGGCATCCTGACCACAGGCACTGAGATAATAATTTTTAGTAACAAAAATTCATTAATAATATCTGCTTCCGTGGTGGCTCAGTACTAAAGAAGCTGCAATGCAGGAGATGAGGGTTCAATCCCTGAGTTGGGAAGATCCCCTGGAGAAGGAAAAGGCAACCCATTCCAGTATTCTTGCTTGGAAAATCCCATGGAGAGAGGAGCCTGGTGGGCTACAGTGCATGGGGTCACAAATAGTTGGACACAACTGAGTGATAGAGCATGCACAAATTGCTTAATAAGGATGCTTGCTCAAGTTAAATAAGCATGATGGTATGATTGCTCCCCTAGAGCCAGNCGACCTCAGCTGTGTGATGCTGGAGGCAGCTCCTCGGAGGGGAGCCCGGCTGTGGCTGCGGCGCGGTGCCGGGCCCGGCCCACAGGGGGCGGCAGAGGGCGCCGCAGGGCTGGGGGCGGCGGGGCTGCTCCTTCGGCTTCCCGGCCCAGGCGCTGAAAGCAGTTTGCCTTTTCCTCGACCCTGGCCCTAGCAGTCAGCTTCGTGGGGCCCCGCAGAGGCAGGAGCACCCTCTCCTAAGAGACTGGGATCCCAGCTGCTGGAACCCGTCGTCGACTTTCTAAACTGGCATAATTTCAGTCTCTCCGTTATTCTCGAGCACCCGCAGCCTAACAGGCGGCCGCCTCCCAGATGCTGCCTCCGCGACCCTTTTGAGTTCTCTGGGGCCTCTGCAGTTAACCTCATCAACAGGCCTTCCTCCTACATCGTCTCTCTTGCAAAAGCAAGCCGCCGTGATTTCTGTCTCCTGCGTGGACCCTGGCGGACACGGCGCTTCGCGTCCACACCTGCCCTCGGGCCTGCTTAGCATCTGCCTCCTGCAAAGCGAGCCTCTCGGCCGGCACAGCCAACCCTCCAAGGGAAGCCTGCTGCCTCCGTAGCCCAGGCTCCTGCGTCTCCTCACCCCCGGCCCAGCCCTGCCCTGGGGGAGGTGAGGCCCGCAGACAGGCCAAGCCCAGAGCCGGTGACTCAGAAGGGCTGAGGCAGGGGGAGTCCGCGCGGAGAAGCGGCAGCCCAGCGCTGGCAGGACTGTGCCCGTGTGTCCAGCCTCAGCGGGAATCCCAGGGGCTGCGGAGAGCAGGGGACAGCAGGCAGCAGCGCTGGCCACCCATCTGGGAGACAGGGGCGGACCTCAACTCTTGGGCTGCTCTCTGGTTTTACCTGCTGCAGGGGCGCCTCCACGGTCGGCTCTCTCCTTCTTTAAACGGCAGTGTTACAGGTCTCCCCAATGTTTTATGATACTTTTGTGTGAGTTAGGGGGCCCATCCATAACGCAGTTGCTTAGGAGGGGCGGCCTGAAAAGGGAAAAGCGAAACTGTGAGTCGTTCAGTTGCATCTGAACATAAACGCAAATTGAGATGTAAAACGTTCTGTCAGGCAGTGACTAAGGCTGATTGCAGTATTTAAACAGATGATGCAGTGAGCTGGTTACACGGGCAGTGCATAATCTGAGTGCTTGAAAGGGGCGGGGGAGAGGAACCCCACAGGAAGCCGCCCGCCTTTGAGGCAGGACGGAGGAAGAAGTGTGCCCAGGCTGGGTTCTCAGGAAGCACACACTTAGGCATGGTTCCGAGTTCACGGTGTTCACCAGAAGTCAGCCACCAGGAGGGAAAGGAGTAACAGGGTGGCGGAGGAAGAAACCGTCCTGCGACGCAGCCCAGACAAACCTCCGCCAGGTCTGGAGCGTTGCCCACTAGAGTGTCCGGCGTTGCGTCAGAATGGCTGGGTGCCTAACACCCAGCCGCTTGGTCCCAGGATGTGGGCTGGTCGGGAAGGCCGTGACCACCAACAGGACTGACCCTGCAGGGGCTGATGGCCGGAGGCGGGCTGCGGGTCCCTCCCTGAAGGGGACCTGAGCCTCTCGTGTCTCCCACCGTAGAATCGCCAGAGCCCGGGGCGGAGGATCCCGGATGGAGGCTGGACCCACCCCCGGTCTGAACAGGGGTGCTGGAGCCAGGCTCCTAATGGGGGTTCTGCAGGGAACGAACACACGGCCTTGCCCTTCCTTCTGTTTATAATGTCTGACTAGTGACTGCAGCCGGGACATTAAAAGACGCTTGCTCCCTTGAAAAATCTTCATTTTGAAACATTTCTTAGAGTGAAGCACAATTTACATATCTGACCCAAGTAAATGTACATCACAAAAATATGTATTTTTTTATTATTACTCATCAAGTGTATTAAAAAATAAATATTTACCTTAAACACAAAAAAAATAAAGAAAAGACGCTTGCTCCTTGGAATAAAAGCTGTGACCAACCTAGACAGTATATGAAAAAGCAAAGACGTTACTTTACAGAAAAGGTCCATATAGTCAAAGCTATGGTTTTTCCAGTAGTCATGTATGGATGTGAGAGTTGAACTATAAAGAAAGCTGAATGCCAAAGAATTGATGCTTTTGAAATGTGGTGTTGGAGAAAACTCTTGAGAGTCCCTTGGACTGCAAGGAGAGCCAACCAGTCCATCCTAAAGGAGATCAGTCCTGAATATTCATTGGAAGGACTGATGTTGAAGCTGAAACTCCAATACTTTGGCCACGTGATGCGAAGAACTGACTCAGCGGAAAAGATCCTGATGCTGGGAAAGACTTGAAGGCGGGAGAAGAAGGGGACCGTCAGATGGATGGATGGCGTCACCGACTCAATGGACATGAGTTTGAGTAAGCTCCGGGAGTTGGTGATGGGCAGGGAGGCCTGGCGTGCTGCAGCCCACGGGGTCTCAGAGTCAGACACGACTGAGCGATTGAACTGACTGAGTGGCTCCTATAGGCCAGACCCGGTCAGAACCAGCCACGGGGAGCTGGAGACATCCAGCCTGCACCTGTGAGTGCCTTGAGCGGAGCCAGGGAAGGGAAAGGACCCTGCAAGCAAGCAGAGCCAGGAAATCCTCTCAGCAGCTTTCCTGACTTTCTTTCCAGAGCAACAAGACTTAGAACCACGGCTTACTGGCCGCCAGCCGCCAACTAACCTGTGTGCTCCCTGTCGGGTCAGGCCACCTTGACTCACTGAGAAAAGCTCCTTCAGGAACGAAAGCCTCACCTCCTCAGCTGCCGAGAGTGCTGCCCGCAGCCCTCCGTGGTGACCCCTTTGGGGATGGCAGTCGCTGAGGGGAGCCATTGTGCCCCAGGGCGTACCCCTTTCTGTGGTTCGTGCCTGCGTGCCAAGTCGCCTCAGTCTGTCCAACTCCTTGCAACCCTATGAACTGTAGCCCATTGGGCATCTCTGTCCAGGGAATTCTCTAAGAATACTGGAGTGGGTTGCCATGCCCTCCTCCAGAGGATCAATCCCTGCCAACCCAGGGACTGAACCCACGTCTCTTCTATCTCCTGCATTGGCAGACAGGTTCTTTACCACTAGCACCACCTGGGAAGCCCAAGCTGACTGGGGTGAGGAGTCTGCCATCTGGCCAATTATTTACAATGTTAAATTGTGTGTCTCCACCCACTCAGGAGCAGGGAGTTTGGTATGTTCATAGCTGTATGTACACGGTGCCAGTGTTAACACACAGTGTGAATTCAGATAAATTTGTTAATGAATTCACTCACTGAGTGCCAAGCCTATGCCTGATGACATAACCCAGAGGACCCCATGGGGCATTCCTAGGACAGACTCCTCTCCTCTGCTATAACTCTTCTCTGGTACCCAGATAATAGTATCTCACGCATATATCCTGAATTTTCCAGGTGCTAAAAGCCACCACCAAAAGAAATTAAGCTTGATGATCAAGAAACTGCTTGATGATCATGAGCATGTAGCCCTCAGACCTACTGATGCCTCAAGATTGATAACGTTAACCCAACAGCCCTGTTACCACACCATCAGCCAATCAGAGAGCTGTGCATGAGCTGATTGCAGGCCCTGGAATGCCCCTCCCTCACCTGGCTTTTTAAAAATGCTTCGCTGAAGCCCTTTGAGGAGTTTGGGTTTGCGAGGGCAATCTACCCATTCTCCTTGCTCGGCCCTGCAATAAACATTTCTCTGCTCCAAACTCCAGTGTTTGATATTTCAGTTTGTTTGGCCTCACTGTGTGTCAGACACATGAACTTGTGTTTAGTCGCAATGATGCTTTCAGAAATTCTGATCTACTGGGGTAATTAGACCAGTAGAAAAATAATGATAACACAGTGCAGTAAGTGCTCAAGTGACGTGTGCTGCTTGCTCTGCCGGGGCAAAGCTTCCTGAGAAGGAGATAAGGGACTGCTGTCCGGGGAGGAGCCAGCAGAGAGGCCCAGCACTGGGTGAACCCCAGGATGACCTGAGCAGGCAGGCCGGTGATTGTAGAGGTCTCTAGGACATCAGGGTCAGGAGGACAATGAGACGGGGGCCAGGCAAGCCCTAAGATCCGGAACCACCACTTCCGGAAAGTTGTTGTCAGAACTCGAGCATGAATGCACCAAGTCTCACACAGGAGGCAGATCACTGCCGCGTCGGTTAGGGTGGCAGGAAGCAAGGAGCAACGTCCGTGTTGATCAAGAGGGAGACAGCCCAGTAAGTAAAGCAGCTTCCATTTTCTAGCTCTCTCTAAGCCACCCCTCCCTCCATCCACCCCGAGGAAAGAGAAGACGGACAGCCTCTGCCATTTCTCACCAGTTCCTTACACCGAAAAAAGGCCTTTCTGTTTCGCTCCTTGCAGGACCCCTCAGAGCCTTTATTTTTTTTTTAAGTATTTATTTATGTATTTAGGCTGCACTGGGTCTTAGGTGAAATACACAGAATCTTTGATCTTCGTTGCAGCGTGTGGGATCTTTTTCAGTTGCAGCCTGCAGGATCTCCAGTTGCAGCATATGGAGTCTAGTTCCTTGACCAGGGATCGAACCCCGGCCCCCTTCATTGGGAGTGTGTAGTCTTAGCCACTGGACCGCCAGGGAGGTCCTGTCTTAGAGCCTTTAGCAAGCTTATTGTTTGCCTTGTGAATGTCTAAGGCACGCCATGTGCAGTATTTCCAAAAAGGATTTAACACAGGGCACTCCTGCGTTAGGTAATAGATTTTACTTACCGCCAAGTTTTCATTACATCAGTATTATATGGGTCCTTTCTCCTTGTCAACAACCCCAGACCATCTTCCTGGAGGGAAAGGCCACGTGGAAAGAGAGGGCCTGCAGAAGTCATATGCCAGAGGCCTGAGGTGCCCGGCCTGAGAGTGGGGCCATGTTAACCCTATAGCCCAGCCCAGGGATTGCAGCCCCCCGAGAAAGCCAGCTGGTTCTAGTGGGACACAGACCCAGAGAATCACGAGTTTTGTGTCAAGCTGCTAAGTTTTGGGGTGCTGTGTTATGCAGCCACAGATAACTAATACTCTCCTATCCTTTCTCCAGTGTCAATCTGCTCCGCTTGCAAGGAAAAAATGAAAATTTGTTCATATCATTACTTTGTTTTTAATAGTGCCATCAAATATCTATTTTTTTTGTAATCCCTTTTATCTTTTTGAGTAGTTTTTGAGCTTTATAAACATAGATCCACACTCCATGTATTGTAGGGAGAATGGAATTGTGGAAAACTCACCCAGTGAAATATTATTACAACATGAAATAAACAGTGCCACACACAATACCAAGGAAGGATGAAGCTTTGAGGCATGGTTATTGTATTGAAAACAACACCTTGCAGAAAACTAAAATACAGGTCATTCATCTTTTTATATGGTTCTTGTCCATTTCTTCTTGAGTTTCTGCTACATTTCTTTTATCCATTTTTCTTTGGGATTGTCTTTTTCTTCTTAATTTGTTGGAATTCTTTATAAATTTTAAGAAGTGTCCCCCAAGATTGGAGTGCTAGGAATTACTTGAATCTTGAGAAACATTTCTAAGGATAGAGTTTAAAATGACCAAACCAAACCAACCAATTAAAAAACACTCTGGAAAATATTGGAAAAAAGAACAAATAAAATTAACAACGTGTTACACAGTCCCTTTAACTTCTTAGCTGAAAATCCCAAGGCTCAGAGACCCAGTAGAAATTTGCCAGTAAGAAGCTATTTACATAAATCCACAATGTACAGAGGTTCTATTTCATATTTTCCTTCTACCAAAAGGAAATGCATCATTTAACTTGAGATATGACCCCCTTTTAAACATTTGCTGGATAGACCAATGAATTACTGTTCTTCCCAGTAGTGAATTTATATTGCACTAAGGAAAGATAAACTCCTTTAACCCCTGTAGAGTCACATTTCTTTCGCTTGGGTCACTTGATAGGGCCATTATAGACTCAGATGACGTGCGGGACTCTGTTTAATATCTGGCAATTTTCTTGTGCCTCTCCACTTATTAAAAGAATGTCTCCATTAGCAGTCATTAGTACATTCTGTCAAGATGGGAGCTAAATTCTCCTTAACAGCTTAAGAGAATGCTTTTTCAAGGAAAATAATGGACTTAATTGCTCAGTGAAATAGTTATTGCTTTCTTTGTCATAACCGCTCCCTCCTCCCTGCAGGTGGAATCAGACACTGCTTACCCCGGTCAAAGATCCAGGCCGTTTCCTCGCGACCCTGTGAGGCATCTTGCTCCAGGCTATGGCCTCTCTGGTGGCAGGCCACTGTCCCCAGGAATAAGCCGAGTTCCTCACCCATCATGGGGAGGCACCAAGGCCTGGAGAAAGAGGAATAAGGCACTCACTGAGCAAGCAGCTTCGTCTGAGGGACTCTGTTTTAGCAACAAGAAGCACAACATATTAGAGAAATAATCACCAATCCTGGGACTCCACGCTGACAGTAATCTCCTTTTTGAACTTTCATTTGAAACATATGCTCTGTGGAAAATGTGGTTCAAGGAGGGAGCTTGTAGGAGTGTGTGCATGTGTTTATGATTAAAAAGAGCTTTCTATGTCGCTTATTTACATAAAACCTTACAGTGTATATCGTGAAAAGCTTCTGCCTCTTAAATATGGGTATCTCTCTCCAGGTTTTGTCTCATTCTTACTCCTTTCCTCACAGGTCAGTCCACTCTCAGGGTCATTTATCACTGCACCCACATCAGCTAAAACACCTTCAGGTGAAAATAATGAAATGCTAACTCACAGAGACATTTAATAAACATAAGTGTCACAAGAAGTCTAGATGTTGGCAAATCCAGACTTTGTTCAGCGGATCAAGAAGGGCAGCAGCGCCCGAAGTTCTGACTGTCTTTCTGCCCAGTCACGCCCTTCAAGGTGCTGCTCTAACGGTTTCCATTTTCTCCTGGCAGGTCACTGACAGGAAGGAAGGACATGAATGCAGAACAGCCCTTCTCCTCTTGGAGAAAAATCCCTCCCGGAAATACATGCGTCTTACTGGCTAGAGTTGGGTCACATGGCTCACCCCTGGGCCAATCAGAGGCAAGTGAGGAACCCTACCTGGACTCAGGCCGATCATGATTTTTCCTCTCTATTTGGGCCCTGGCCACCCAAACACAGGTGGGATTCTACTCAGAAGGAAGGAGGAAGAGCTGTTTGGGGGGAGACGGCTCCCAGATCCTTATTTCCAGCCCTGACTGTTCTGTCATCTGTCATCCAACTGCCCGGACTACCTACCTCGATGTCCTGTTGCCTCAAACGCCATCTGTTGGGGGAAATTCCTTTTCCCGTCTAATAGGTGGCTCCTTTTTCTTCATTTCTCAACTTAACCAATGGTAGTTTCGTCCATCCATCCACCATGGAGGTTGCAACCCTGAGAGTCATATTTTTTTAAACTTTTTTTTTTTTAAGAGCTGAAGCTCCAATACTTTGACCACCTGATGCTAAGCGTTAACTCGCTGGAAAAGATCCCGATGTGGGGAAAGACTGAAGGCAAAAGGAGAACGGGGTGGCAGAGGGTGACAGGGCTATGAAGCATCACCAACTCAATGGACATGAATTTGAGCAAACTCTGGGAAATAGTGAAGGACAGAGGAGCCTGGTATGCTGCAGTCCATGGGTCTGCAGGGTCGGACATGACTTAGCAACTGAATGACGAACACAGCTTATTTATTTATTTGGCTCTGCTGCTTGGCATGTGGAATACTAGTTCCCCAACCAGGGACTGAACCCATGCCCCCTGCAGTGGAAGCACAGGACTGCCTGGGAAGTCCCCAGCATCATTTTTGATGCCCTCTCAGTCTGGACTGCCTTATCCAGTTGGTCTCCGGAGCAGTAGCACCTTCATCATCCCATGCTGGCTCATCATCTCTACCAGCTGTCAGTCATCTGTTCCAGATGCGCGTGGACCACTTCATTTCACCTGAAATGGGCTCCAGCGTCCAGGACCATGTGCTCTGCCAGCAGACCCACCTTCCTAAACAAAAGCCTGCAGTCCTCATCCCTCCTGCTCGAGAATGAGGCTCCCATGTTCCTACAGGAGGAAAACCCATAATGCTTAGTTTAGGTTTTAAGATCTTCTAAACATTATCTTTTAAAAAGGATTCCCCATTATTTTCTGCTCCAGCCACACTGGTTGAGTCATTGTTCCCTGACATATGTTTTAATGCATTCCCATTACGACACATTTGTCCACATCATTTGCAGAGATAAGACCTTTCTGCTTTCTCTCTTCTTTCTGAATCCTACCTGGCCAACTCCTGTCTCACTGCTGAAATCTCCTTAAAATATCCTAGGCTTCAATGAATGTTTTCTCCTCTGAAATCCTACCTGCTAATGGAAATATGAGTAAATTTTTTAAAAGAAATCTCAGGATTAAATAATTAAGCAAGAATAATTCTCTTATAGCCATATTACCAGTGCTTTGAAATGTGCCATAATAATGCTTACATGGTAAATAATGATACAATACCCATTGTTCAATATTGAAGAAATTTTAAAAAATATTCCATTCTGATTATTAACCTTCAGAAAGTTTGGAATCTTTTCAAAAGGTAAAAGTATTAGTACTTTAAAACAAGACTGCATCAGATTCTTCAAAAGGCTGCCAGTGAATCTATGCAATTTGATGTCATCAGTGGAGAGACCATTCATTCATTCACAGTCAAAAGATTGCAATTTTATTGCCTGACAACTGTCACCAGAATTCTTGGCAGGAGAACTCTCTATATTTAGGAGAATATCTTGACAAATTGCTTGGGGATAGAGAATGAGATTCAGAAATAACTTGACGACACTATGTGTATCCGACACCACACTCATGTCCAGGGAAGTGGAGGATTTCGCCTCCTCACCATTTCCTCAAAAAGAAATGCTAAGCCATTTAAAGAAAAATGGCAAAGTTATCGAGACAGAGCATTATGTCGAGAATCAGAAGACACACAGAACTCTTTTCTATTCAAGTATTTTACAAGAACTATAGCAAAAGAGCAGGGGGCCTTGAAATTGCTCCCAAACTTAGGTGAAGGTGGCCCTGGTACTAAGTCACCCATAGAGCTTCTCTGAAAGAGTTTTTCCAAGTGTAGCTTTGGGTTGATATCTAGGATTTTTCTATTTATTCTGGCTTTGCCACTTAAAGCTTTGTCAAAACTCTCTGAACTTATTTCTTCATTTGGGAAATAGAAGAGGGAAGACAATACTGTATCCAAGCCTGCTCTGTATTTTATTTGCTAGATGCACATATGCATTTATGTTTCTTTTCCATAAGACTGAGTTCTCATTTTTCAATTCACATTTCTTTGGTAAAATTATCTACATTTGTATTGATGCTTTGGGATGCAAGTAAAAGAAAACTGCTTTTCAATCAGTTTATGCCCTAAAGGAGATTGATGTGTTCATGTAGCTGAAAAAGTCCAGATGCTGGGTAGCCATCAGGTCTGGTTCCACAAGTCCCCCAATCTGCCTCTCTATGATTTCCTTGTCCCCTTCTTCTTTTGTGGGTTGATTGCACACTCAGGCTGACAGCAAGGTGACTGGTGCATATCCTGACCTTGCAGCCTGGCCATAATAACATCTATTAGAAGAATCATCTAATCCAGCAGCTCCGCTCTTAAGATCAGAAACCCTCCTGACCAGAAACTCCTACCAAACCTTCCATTTCACCTCATTGGTCAGGGTTTTGTCACAAGACCACTTCTAAACCAATCTCCTTGGCCTGAGGAATGCCACATGCTGATTATCTAAGATTTAGATTCTGAAACTAATCTCTGGGGCAAGGGGGCAGGATTACTCAGGGACCAATCAAGCCCACGTGCAACTGCAGGTGGAGTTAGCTCCTGTAAACCTTGAGCAGGTGGGGGGTGGGGGGTAGAGTATCTTTGAGCAAAAAAAACAAGGGTGCTTCCAGAATGGGGCAAGAGGAAATGGACGCTGAGTTGGCATCTTCAAAGTTTGCTCTGTACAGAACTGTAGAATACCCACTTCAGCCTGGGGATCTGAACCGGATACGGCCGCGTCTGGTAACCAAAGGCCCGAATGTTCACAGAGTTCAAGTCTGCTAGATCTTTATCTAACAAAGTCTAAAAATTTCCACAAGGAAATGAGAAACATGTAAATAATTACAGCTCTGTGGTTGACGGTACACCAGCATACGTGAAACCAATTGTTTCCACTCCATATGGGAAACTAATCAGCTTAATTACATGGCAAAAAAATTACTTCAGGACCCAAACTTGCCCCGTTTTTTCTTCGGGGGCAATTGAAGGAACTTGAAAGTTAACTTTTTTTCAACCGGAAAACTTGGTTAAATTTTTGGAAGGGTTTTTTCGGCGTTCAGTTGTTTTTTATTTGTTTTTTTTTAAGGGGGTTGTTAATTCCCTTTTTTTCGGTTGGAAAATTGGTTGAATTTTAAAAAAAAAATCAGAGACTGCAGTTTTTAATTGCTAATCATTAATCTCCATTTTTATTCCCCCACCAAGGTTACACTCAGAATTTTGTTAATGCTTTCAAGAGACTGTCAGTTCTGTGGCAGTGCTGGGCAGTCTGTGAATCCCTTCCTGCTTTGAGCTCAAATTGACTTAGAAGTACAGTTGAGCCATTCTTCCAACAAAACAGCTATTGAGGGCCTCTGAGGTACCAGGCTGCCCTGTGCCCGTCGCATCATCACGTGGTCAGCCAGCTGCCTCCCTCCCCTTTCAGGGGAAGGGGGCTCCTTGGAAGCCATCATCCAGTGTCCCCTGTGACATTAGACCTTCTTTTGAGCTGCCTTGATCCTTCCTCTGATGTCAGTTCAGATGGGTCACTGACTTACGGGGCTCCCACTGCCAAGAAAGAGATGCGCAGAGAGCGATGTGGGAACGACAGACAGAAATCACGAGCAGAGCTCTCACTCCAGAGAAACTGAAAACCTTCCTGGAGATGGAGCCCCACCAGCAAAGAGAGAAGAACACACATATCGAAGAGCTGAGAAGCTCAGACCCAGAGGGTAGGCAGTACAGGAGGGAAGTGTGTCTTTCGACCCCAGGTTAACTCGGGATGCATTTGGGCTGAGACGGGAGGCTGCACCAGGGGGGAGCAGTGGGGGTTCATGAAGGGAATAGAGGCTACACTGGCGAAGGCCCTGGGGCTTAGAGCCAGAGGTAGGCCTGGTGAGCAGGAAAGCGGAAACAGCCTGCGTCTCAGAAGCAGGGGCGTGATGTGTACACGTGTGTGTGTGGCGCCTGTGACTGTGTATCTGCAAAAACGAAGTGACACTCAGTGCTCTGTGTGGTCCAAGTGGGAAGCAAATCCCAAAAAAGAGATGGTGGTGCTGGTTTAGTGGCTAGGTAGTGTCCCACTCTTGCGGCCCCATAGACTAGAGCCCTCCAGGCTCCTCTTGCCTGGGATTCTCCAGGCAAGAATACTGGAGTGGGTTGCCATTCCCTTCTCCAGGGGATCTTCCCAAGCCGGGAATCAAATCCAGGTCTCCTGCATTGCAGGCGGATTTTTTACCGACTGAGCTACAAGGGATGCTGGCCACACACACAAAAAAGAGGCAGGGGGGATATATGTAAACATAAAGCTGATTCACTTTACTGAACCGCAGGAACTAACACAACATTGTAAAACAACTATACTGCGAGAAAAATTAATTTAAAAACAGAATGAAGTTACGAAGCTCACCCCCTAACAGAGACAAGATTGACAGGATTTGACCACACACCATTGGAAATGGTCCACACAGGTTTTCCACCCGAGGTTTTCCAGTCCTTTTGGACATAAAGACCTCCATTCTGATGGCAGAAATAACTGGACACCTGTCCTCTTCTGCTGTTTATCAGAATGTGGATTGAGAACAATGTAATGCCCGCAGAGTCCCTTCTGTACCCACGTGCCTTTGTGGAGCTAAGGTAAGAGAGGCCTTCTTGGACGGACCATTCGGAGACGGCGCTGCTCCTTCTCAGGGCGGGCCCAGCCCCAGGGTAGGACAGGTGGCCCGTGGAAGAGAATTGAGCTGGCGCTCAGCCTCGGGTGAGGCCCCCAGGTGGGCACCCTTGGCGAGAGGAGAACGGATGCCCCCGTGCCGAGGCCCCAAGGACCGAAAGGCGCCGAGGGTTCAGGAAGACTTCATCATGAGGCCGGGTTTGGGTCACAACAACAGTGTTCAGATGCATCTGAAAAAGTCACCCTGTGCTTCACAAAGCTTTGGGCACTGAAAAGGATTCGGATACTCCTTGCCATGACTGCCCCTCCCCAAGCCTCTGCAGTCCACAGCAGGGGGTTCAGACCACCCCGACTTCGGTCTAAGGGCCACCAGGGGGCAATAATTAGGAGGGGGCACCCCACACTCAGTTCACAGCTGCAGAACAAGAGGGAGAACTGGGGAGAGTAAGGTGGCACTTAGCACGTTGCCTCAGCCAACAGATCACAGGATTTGTTGCTAAATAAATCCCTTTACGTTTGGTTCACACATTTTTGTGTGTATGTGGAAAACATGCCGACAAATGAATAATATTAACATAAAATTCTGAGTTATTAATATCCTTTAA